TGCTCCTGGGCTAGATTTCAGCCGTCCCAGATAAGGGTTTGAATATAATGGAATCATTTAAGTCAGATTATGTGATGTGATCTAGATTATTCAACAGCTCTAAAGATGTTCCCTATTACAACAAATCTAAAACTAAAACCAAATAAAACTTTATAATCTTCAGCATTATTGATGAAAAATAAAGAAGAAACACCAACCTGTGTGTTCTTCAGTATCAGTGTGTTTCATTCTGCAGGGTTTGTGGGAGGAGCTTCACTGAACATGAATTTCTGTCTGGAAGAAGCAGATTTGCTAAAATCAACAATTTTTTTTTTTTTTTTTTTACTTATAAGCGATGCAAGAATTTGAGTGAACTTCACTAGGGATGGACTGAGGCTGGGGTCAAGGCATCAAGAGCCACCACACACAGACGTGTCAAGGAATTTGGCTACAGTTGTCGTATTCCTCTTGTTAAGCCACTCCTGAACCACAGACAACGTCAGAGGCGTCTTACCTGGGCTAAGGAGAAGAAGAACTGGACTGTTGCCCAGTGGTCCAAAGTCCTCTTTTCAGGTTGAAGTAGAAGATATTAAATTTACCGGTCAAACTCCACATATTCGAAAACTGAATCAAAAAAGTGAACTGGAAATTCCTTTTGATGATTTACTTGTAGAATCAATGCAGAGGAGGCATCAGCGGGACATTAAAAAGAAAGGGAAGTTGGAGAAGAGGAAAAGCAGAAGTGACCAGACAAGAAACGCAAGACATGATATTGATGGCTAAGGAACTTCTTCTGATAATTCGGCAACATGAACGTGTGAATAAACGACTAATGAAAAGAGTTAAACAATTTATTGAAGTTAATGAGTTTAATTTGAAAATGGAATCTTTGCGAGGCGAGGTTGACTGTTTGAAACTTCAAAGGGCCAACGCCGCCTCCAAAGAATAAACAGTTAACTGAAATCCTGTCAAAAGCGAGAGCAGGTGTTGTTATCTTGGTTAACAGCTAACGAATGGAAAATGCTGAAGTGTGAAAACTCGCTCATATATTTTGAAAAGGTGTTGGTATTTTGTAGTAAAGAAAATGTTTAGCTGTGGTTAGCACAAAAAGGTCAGACATCCTGTGTTAGCGTATAGGAGATAAACTTTGTTTGAACTTCCTCGTGTATATTTGGGGAGGTATGTGTGTGTGTGTATGCTATGCTTGATGTTATGATGTAATGGAATCACAACCCGCTGAGGCAAGGGGTGTGACCAAGTGTATCCAATAGGGGAGATTTAGTAAATGCTTTGCAGGAGATAAATATTGTATACGCCCTCTCCTATATAATCCAATGTTTGATGAGTTTTGTGCTGCCGCAAATCGGGTGAAGAGTACAATCATCACAATTAAAAAAACCAAAGACTTAAACTACTTCAGTCTGTGTGCATTGAATTTATTTAATACACGAGTTTCACAATTTGAGTTGAATTACTGAAATAAATGAACTTTTCCATGACATTCTAATTTATTGAGATGCACCTGTAATGTCAGTCAAGCATGCAGTGAAATATAATTTATTAGGCATTTAAGCTCTATTGAGAAACACATAGAAAGCACCAACAGCAAACATAATATTTCATGGCTTTCAGAACTAAAACTAAGAAATTATTCCTGATGCAAGCAGAATCTGCAGAAATTAAAAATGGACAATAAGATGATAAAAATGAGTAATGAGTTTAATCAATCATTACTTGAAGCAAATTAAAAATTTAAGTAAAAGTGAAAACAAATGAGACAGATCTCTCTCTTGACTGACTTATAAGAGAAGAAGAGAAGCAAAGTGGCCAGTTTCAAAGCTATATCTTTCATTTGAATGGAAGAGTAGAAGTGGAAGAAAAATTACATGATCTTATGGAAAACAATGAAGAACAAATTAAATAAATATCAGATTCATGTTTCTCTTAAACGTGTTATGGCCTCTTCTTGAAAGTTTTTGAATTTTCTGTTGCTCTTTTAGTTCATTAGGTAGTAAAGTACTTCCCGCATATAAACACACACCACCGTGTCTTTTCTGCTGTAATATTACGAATGAATCTTCTCTTCTGTGTTAATCTTCAGGTGTTTCTTCAGGACTGATGCTTAATGAAACTGTTCACCGCACTGATCACAGTTAAATGGTCTTTCTTCAGAATGAGAAGGAAGATGTGATTTCAAAGTGAAAACAGAAACAGTCATCAAAAATGCTTTGCACACACTTCTTATCAGAATAAAGTATTGTCTTTTGTTGGTATGGATTATGGTTTGGTTACCTGTCTAAAGATTTCTCATGTAGGCCCACCTAATCTGAATCTGGGGAACAAGTTAATTGATTTCTCACGTAACGCTAACTTGGATTGTACGACACAAAACTGATCTGTCAAATCTTTGTATTTTAAGTATTGTACGTGACCATTCAGCACATAGTTATAGGCATCTAAATATTTATATGTCCTCAGTTTCTCTTTACACTACACGCTCAGTTTCTCTATCAGGTAGATTTCAGGCCACTGAAGCGCAGGTAATCCTGTCAGATCATCCAACCATTGAGTGAGCATGTACGGGTCTGGTTACGTCCATTAAAGTTAACTTTTTCAAATAACAATCGCGTTCCCGGACAGTGAGTGACCTGAAATATTCACATAAAATTGGATTTTCTCCAGTCATTGTTAAAAAATAAGCTAAAAAATAAGCTAACAAAACTCGTTATCTAGGGTTAGTGAAGTGGTCAGGAGAATCTTTCTGCCTCCACCTAAGCTCTGCCCACAAAAAAAGGTCACAATCTTTCCTAACTGAAAATGGGTCTATACTTCATTCATGTGGTGTCAGAATAATAGCTACATTAAATGTGATTAATATGCCTAAAGCTAAACTTCCCTTGTAAAGATTTGCAATCAGAAGTGTTTCTAAACCGTTGTTCAACAAAAGAAAACATTATAACATGTTTTTACTCCACAACATCAGTCAAATGCTTCATTTTGTGATCTGATGTGGCTTCTTATCACAGAATGAGGCAGACATAATATGTTCTATACTGTATAAAGGCTATGTCGATTAGCAATGGATTATAAATATACTCAATTATGAAAATACCAGAGATGGCTTGACGAACAGTCTCAGTCTAGTGTTTATTGTCTTCATGTTTCATCATTCAGAATGTTTTTATCTTCTTTTTATTCAGCAAAAGTGTCATCAGTTCTATTACTTCTGTGATGCATAAGTGGAGTTTTTTTTCGTGAGGGCGCCCTCTGGCTTCCAGTAGGAATGAAACTGACATTACATGTGTTTATAACGCTCAATAATGGCCAATCCATCCTATTTGGGTAAAAATAGGAAAAATAATACTTCTCTCAAAAGAAATTTGAAGTAGATATATAATAATACATGTTTTATTTAAGTGTACAGGATTTGTTGTTGTTGTTTTTGTTGTTGTTGTTGAGTGAGCATCAGAGTGAGCATCAGCATGTTTTTCAGGTTGATGAATGAAGAATCAAGAATAAACACCATCCTCTTTGTACCTCAGTGTCATGAGGTTTCATTCTGCTGGCTCTGGATCACTCATGTTCTCTCTGTTCTCTCTTTCCAAATGCTTTCTGGTAGTTCTGCCAAAGTTACAAACAAGTTTCATTTCCAACAGACACAATACGAGATCAGCCAACAAACTGTCCTTTCACTCACTGTGGCTGTTCAGAAATGATGAATAATTAAATGAATGAGGCATTTATATAGCTCTTATTATGTACTACTGTACACCCGAAGCACTTTACAATCATAGCAGAGTCTCGCCTCACCACACCAGCTAAAGGTGGAGAGGAGAGATTCTGTTGTGGTTATTTTTCACAGAAGAGAGTTTGTTTCTCAGCACATGAAGATGAGCTACTTACTGTGATTTCAGACTGCGGTGGTCTGGTTTCTCCACTGCATGGATCCTCAGGTGACTTTTAACATTGAAACTCTTTCTGCAATGATCACACGTGTGCAGTTTCTCTCTGCTGTGGATCCTCTCGTGTTTTCTCAGCTGTCCTGAATCACTGAATCTCATATCGCAGTGTGAACACTTATAAGGTTTCTCTCCAGTGTGGATCCTCTCATGTTTTCTCAGATTTGATGACACACTGAATCTCTTGTCACAGTGTGAACACTTGTAAGGTTTCTCTCCAGAATGAATCCTCTGGTGCAGTTTTAAACAGTTTGCTGAAATAAAACTCTTCCCACACTGAAAGCACACATGATCTCTTACATCAGTATGTGTTTTCTCATGTCTATGTAAGTTTTGCAGCTGAGAAAAACTCTTTCCACATAAAGAACATGAATGTGGCTTCTCCTTCGTATGAACTCTCAGGTGTTTCTTCAGGTCTGATGCTCTCGAACACGTTGTGCCGCATTGATCACATGTGAACGGTTTCTCTCCGGTGTGGATCCTCATGTGACTCTTCAGGCTTTCTTTGTATGTGAAACTCTTCCCACATTGATCACAAGTGAATAGCTTCTCTCCTGTGTGGATTCTGATGTGTAATTTAAGGTTTGATGATTGTGTGAAACTCTTCCCTGCATAGATCCTCATGTGTATCTTCAGGTGACTTTTAACAGTGAAACTCTTTCTGCACTGATCACAAGTGAATAGCTTCTCTCCAGAATGAACTCTCATGTGATCAACAAGATGTTGTTTGTTTGTGAAACTCTTTCCACACTGAGTGCAGGTGAAAGATTTCTTGGCTGTTCTTTTCTTTAAAAATGTTTTCTCAGTCTTTGAGCAAGGTTTTTCTCCAGGTTTGTCATGAAATATTTCCTCCACTTCACTCAGTTCTTGACTCTCCTCGTTCTCTTCCATCAGCTCTGAAAAGAAAAAGAAAACAGTTTCACTTCATTTTCAGTACATTACAATAATTCAAAGAAAGAAATATGAAGTGAAAGAACAGAAAAGTGAGCCCTGATGTAACAAAGCAGACAACTGCTATAAAATATTACAATCATTTTGATGCTTATTTATACATTAGTTACACATCCCTAAAACTCTCCATGAATGAGTTACACTGGTGTTCTAGTAATTATATTTAAATCGGACAAATCCCATGTTTCTGTAGTGAGAACTTTTATTAATCAATGTTATTTACATTGTGTTGCATTGTCTACATTGTGTACATTAACGTTACAATATACAATAGTTCCATATTTTGACACAAAATTATTTAATTAATTTTACTAAAAAACTCTTTAATTATTAAGGGTGAGTCACAATAGACTTTTCCTTCCATTGATTTCATTCAAACGTATGTGAATGTGGGACTCGAGCGAATTTTGATGTGTGAAAGAACACAAACTTTTGCAGTAAAATGGAGTAGATTGTGTATTTGTACATTTGAGTGATTATTGTTTGTTGTATATGTAAACACGCTGCAGAGTGTGAAGTCATATCATGACCGTTGCTGTGTCTGTAGAAATTTCACATCAGATCAGAATCAGAAAGAGCTTTATTGCCAAGTATGTTTGCACATACAAGGAATTTGTTATAGTGTCACAAGCTTCCAGTACACGGAGACAACAACAACACACAGATAATAAAAATGAGATGTGAATAAAATACACATGCATACATATAAACCACAAAAAAAGAATAAATTGTATGTACAGGTGTGCTATAGATAGAATAGGAATAGAATAAAATAAAGTTGTAGGGATGTACTAGAATTTAGGGTGATAAATAAGTATTAGGTTATTGCACATACTTTAATTGCACAATGGGAGAACATTAACTGTTCATGAGGTAGATTGCCTGGGGAAAAAAACTGTTCTTGTGCCTGGCTGTCCTGGTCACATGCTCAAAGTCTAGATTGACCACGGGTTTAACTAGTGTTAAATCAACAATTGTTATTAGCATCAGCGATGTCCTACATGTTTCACTCAACACTGTTACTTCTGTCATGATTTTCCTCATTTGAAAAAAAACAGAGCATTTCTTAAAACTGTGACACACAGGAAGTGACATCATCTGGGTTCTTTACAAACGTTTGCAGTAAAATGGAGTAGATTGTGTATAATTTGAACATTTTAGAGTGATTATTATTTGTTATATACGTTTGTAAACACGCTGCAGAGTGTGAAGTCATATCACGACCGTTGCTGTGTCTGTAGAAATGTCACATGCTCAAAGTCTAGACTGACCACGGGTTTAACTAGTGTTAAATTAACAATTGTTATTAGCATCAGCAGCGTCCTACATGTTTCACTCAACACTGTTACTTCTGTCATGATTTTCCTGATTTGAAAAATAAAACAGAGCATTTCTTAAAACTGTGACACACAGGAAGTGACATCATCTGGGTTCTTTTACAGCATGACACTTCAATCCATTGTCTCAGTTTTACACAAACTGTACATTGTTGATCTCATTCATCAACCCTGTTACCAAAATTACTGTATGAAGAATAAAAAAGGAAAGGAAAGGGAAAGGACGAGACATGTAGCCAAGTATGGCAGTGAATAATGAACACACACACACACACACACACACACACAAATCAAGAATAAACACCAACCTGTTTGTTCTTCGGTATCTTCAGTGTGTTTGATTCTGCAGGGTTCTGGATCTCTCATCTTCTCTCTGTCCTCTTTAATAAACTCAGTCTTTGCAGATTTCAGCTCTTCCTGATGATTAGATGCTCGTCTTCACTTGTGAACTGATGGAGATATTCAAGCATTTATTGAAGAATTACTGTGGGAGGAGCTTCACTGATGATGTGTTGCAGTGGGCGGAGCTTCACTGATGATGCTATTACAGTGGGCGGGGCTGATCTACCAAATGCAAAAATATGTCAGTTACTGAGTTTGTTTTTATACTACCGGTAATTGATAACAATGCAAAACTGTAAATTCTTTCAAATATAAATAATGGTAAGAAAAACAATTGAAAGCATTAACTCAAAAATAAATGTACAGATTTGTAACCAACAAATACCCTCAAGTCTGTTGACACTGAAATGCGTTAAATGACAATTTACAGGAGATCTGAAGACATCCGCATTAAATGAGGTGAAAACAGGAACTATTACAGAACTATAGCTCTGTTAATATTGATGAGCCTCAGACGATCAACACTCATTCAACAAGACATTCAGGATCATCAGCAGATCATCTCTCTTTATTCTGAGTGTTTGCTGATAGAAACACATTATTTGAGTCAGGATATATGATAAAAGTGTATAAAACTGCTCCACAGAAAGATACTGTTATTTCTCACAATATGCATGGATAAAAACCAAACATCGAAACAATCACACAAATGAACAGACAAAAGCACTCAAATTCGCTCAGGTCTGATTTAATTCCTCATATTTTCCTCACATGCTCGCTGCTGCTGCACTGAATGTTTATTTCAGTAGAAAGAAGCAAGAAAAGACGCGCAAGTAGCG